AACAGCGTTTCCTAAATGAAGGAAGGAAGGAAGGAAGGAAGGAAGGAAGAAAAGAAGGAAGGAAAAACTCATCATTCTTCTTAAGATGCTTTGAGAAAAAGCAGAATCAGAACAGAGTTTTTCAGAAAGTAACATTAGTCTCCCTGTGATGTGGCACCATAGAGAATGGAGCTTAGCGCATGGAATTAAGAGCATGAGATGCTGTCATGGTCAAGGGCTCCAGGAGTCACAGACTGGACAGCTCACCCACACTCTACTCCCCAAACAAAAGCCAGGGCAGCCTTGGGGGCCTGTCATTCTGATTGGTTTTGGCTATGGGAAGGGGTGGGGTCTGTGATGTCTCTCTTTTTGTGATTGTTAATAGGGAGGCCATGTCACTACAGTGGTGGACAAGTGTGGGTATGGGAAAGAGGAGGAGTTTTAGATGGCAGGGGAGAAAAACACATTTCTTTTCTAAAAGACATCAAGTATGGTTACATTATTGTATATGTTCTAACTGTCACCTCTACCTGTTCCAGAAAAGACACAAGGTACCAATAATTAGGAAGCCTCCTACATGAGCACTCTTCCAAACTCTGGCAACCTATGTCTTTCTCTCTCTCTTTGAGCTTTTCTGTGCCAGAGTCCTCATGTGAAGGGAGCCATAAAATATGCATTCTTTCACATCTGGTTATTTTTACTTTGCTTAATATTTCCAAGGAATAGGCATGTTGTTGCATATGTCAGACCTTTATTCCTTTGTGTGACTAAATAACATATTGTTTGAATATACCACATTTAATTTTATTTCATCTAGGTTGTTCCTACCTTTTGAATGGTGGTAAAAATATATACAGCCAGTGCTAGGAACATAACTCAGTGGTAGAATGCTTGACTGGTATTCATGAGATCCTGAGCTCTAACACCACATAAAAACACAGAACAAATAAAATCACCTGGAATCTATTGTTTTCTTTCTTCCTTTTAGACAATTATTTATTTATTTATTTTATATAGAGACTTGTTACATAGTCCTGGATGGCCCCAGGCTCTTGACAATCCTCCTGCCTGCAAGTGCTGAAATCATAGGCTTCTCCACCATGCTCTTATGTGCTTTACTTTTTAAAATGTATGCATCGGAATAGAATTTTTATGTCTCTTGGAATGTTCATGAAGTTACATGTCTGCAAGTAGAAGTCCACTTTTTTTCTTATTAACTTATTCTCAGAGATTTTGTGAAATTCTTTGGCAGCAATTACTCGGTCCTTTTGTGGGGCTTCTTCTTGGGTATTAGTGAGATAGTATATCTATACAGAGTAGGATAACTCCATTTCTTTTGTTCTCAGAATCCAAAAGGAGGTCATCAGTCAGACACAGCCTGTCCTAATACCTAATATAGTTTGGCATGAGATGTACACAGTGGGCTCATGTATTGAGCTTGGCCTTCAGATGGTGGTGGTGTTTGGGGAGGTTCTGGAAACTTTAGAGGGTGAGATCTAGCTGTAGAAAGTGGGTCACCAGAAAGGGTCTGTCAGTGTAACCTGTGATTGTAGTTTTTGTCAATTTTCACACCCCTAGTTAGGAAAGAAGGAATCTCAAGGTCAGATTGTCCTATGGGCGAATCTGTGGGGACATCTTGATTGATGACTTATATGGGAGGGCCTAGCCCACTATGGGTAGTGGTCCTTGGTGAAATAAGAAAACAGACTGATCAAGCCATGGGGAGCAAACTAGTAAGCAGCATCTCTCTGTGGTCTCCGCTTCAGGCCCTGCCTCCAGTTCTTGCTTCCAGTTTGATGGACTGTAAACTGAGCCAAATAAACCCTTTCTTTCCAAAAGCTGTTTTTGGTAATGGTGTTTACCCCTAACAACAGGAAGCAAACTAGCATACTGCCTCCTCTGGTCTTTCTCTCTGCTTCCTGAGGTGAAGATGTGCTCTACCATCCCTCACCCTCATCATGATGGCCTTTCAAATGAAGAGGACAGAAAGCTCTGAAACCGTGAGCTTAAACAAGGCCTCCTTCCCTTAATTTTTCCCTGTTAGGTGTTTGGGCACAGTGAGGAGAAATGTACTCCATACAATGACCTTTGCAGGGATGTTGGGAAGTATGAGGGCACAGACTGGGAGGGGCTGCTGTGTCTCCAGCCCTGCCCAGTCTTGTCTTTTGTGTTTGTTCATTTATTGCCACACTGTTCTGGGGAAGGAGGGCTTGGTGACCATGAGGAGAAATCTTTAAGTTTTTTTATTTGAAGACTATGCTAATTTCATCACCATATCCCCAGGATTTAGCTAAGCTGGAACTCTGCTGACTTGGTGGTGGTGGTAGCTTCAGGGAAGCAGAATTGCTGTCCTCTGTAGAACTGAAGGCCGGCACTAGGATGATGGTTCTATGGTGACTGTGGATGGAGGCTTTCTTTGTTGAGAAGCTGACAAAAATTGCTAATTTAAATGAGTGATCATCTTATATTAACTGTTATTGCCTGGAATCTAGAATTGGCAGGGAAAATAGAGAATACCTTGGTTGAATATGTGTTTGGATAAACAATGAATATTTTTAAAAGTGAATGTTCTATCTCTCTATATATGTACATACACATGCACCAAAGTTTTCTTGTTTAATATAAGTACATTCCCAGGATTGCATTTGGGCATAGTTACTTGAAGAAACTCTGTTGTTTATCTGAAATTAAATTTTGACTAGGTTTTCTTAATTTGGCGAATCTTGTAATCTTTTCTGGCACACTATATGTTCATCAGAGAGCTCTCTGGTACACATATTCCCAGTCTAGGTGACATTGTTCCTTCTGTGGGACCCACAGCTGACCCATGTCTCTCAAGAGTCAGCACCCAGCAAGGTACATGCAACAAACATGTCAAGTGAGGCCTATGATGGAGAACATTCCAAGAACCTGAAGAAAGCAGATGTGTCTTGTTCCTCTGCTTGCACAGATACCTTCCAAGGCAGTGGGAGAATACGCATGTGGGAGCACTGGGGAGCTTCTGTCAATGGAGCTGGTCTTCTACATGGTGCCAGTGTACTTGTCTACTGGTCATCCACATGGGTGCTTAGTTACATGAGTGCAGGGAGGTGATTCTGCAACCCGGTAGATACAGGCTAAAGAGTAATGTCTTTGTTAAGGAGGGATGAAAAAGATGATGTCTGGATCCCACAGAGAGTGGGGTCAGTTACTCTTTCTTTCTGTGACAAATGTGCCCGCTGAAAGCAACTTGAGGAAGGAAGGGTTTGCTTTGGTTGACTGAGGGTACTGTTAATCGTGATATGGTGTCATGGTTGCAAGAGAATGAGATGGCTTACCACCTTGCTCCCAGAGTCAGGAAGCAAAGAGATGGGTGTGGGCACTATGCTTGTTCAGCCCAGAGAATGGCTCAGCCCATGGCAAGCACTGGTATTTTCTTCTCAGTTAACCCAATCTCAATTCTAAATTCGAACGTCTCCCTCACACGAGGTTTGTTTCCAAGTTGATTCTAGATCTTGTCAAGTGAAGAATCAGTGTTAGCCATCACAGAAGAGAGCTAGGGCAGGGGTGGGTGGGGTGGGGCAGTGGTGGTGGGAGGAGGGAGTGGGAATGGGGCAGGAATATGAAAAGGTATAGAGGTGTCTGTCCAACTGTCCTTTTCACAGCTGTTCCCAGAACTGTAATCGCAGAATTTAGCTCTCAACCGTTGCCTTCATGACCACCATTCCACTACGGGAGCGAGTGGCCTTGTATGCCACATGGAGTCCTTCCACTTACAGCTTCTACCCCCTAGTGAATTTTTGTACGTTGTCATTTCTTGCTCTGGATTTTCTTCTACCTGAAATATGTCTGATGTCTGTGTCATAAATTATTGTAGATGCAGTAACTACAGTCATGGCAACTGCTCTGTGCAGTTAGGCAAATTCTGTCCTGTCCAGACTGACTCTCAGGTGAGAGTTGATGAATTAAATCAGGGTCATCCACAGAGGACTGCATGAGAGGCAACAGTTTGAGTGCAAGTCTCAGTGACACCAGAGCAGAGCTCTGGCATGCTTTTCTTTCCTTCTCATTTTGTTTTCCAGATGAAAGAATTATTTTATTTGCTATTCCCGCCCAGGCCAGCACACAGCAACACCCAGAATATGACAGGAAAGGGTTATTCTATAAGTCAGTGGTGTGCTGTCAGAGGCATCAGAGGGGCCCCCTTGATTGTTTTTCTGCTTATTTTCTTTCTGACAGCTTTAAAGGGCCATTTTAAATTGCCAGGAGAGTCGATTCATATTTTATCATTCCACCTGCATAGCATTTTAGACAATTTATATTCCTGAAAGCATAATACTACATAACATTTAGCATTTAATTTATGGCTCCTGCCACATCTGGTATAAAACTCTTTCTGAAGCAATAAATCAACCCCTCCGTGTCAAATTGCCATTCATTCTTTGACCTCCTCCATAATTTATGGTTTGTGAGAGCAAAATGGGAGAAGCCACTTAAATCAAGTGGATTTTAATTAATAATCTTAGGAAATTCACAAGAATATTTCCAATCTATTCATGAAAGGAGAGGGCTTTGGAGAGACAGAAACAAAGAGAGAGAGAGAGAGAGAGAGAGAGAGAGAGAGAGAGAGAGAGAGAGAGAGAGAGAGAGAGAGAGAGAGAGAGAGAGAGAAGCTCATTTTCTTGGGGCATTAAGTCTATACTGAATGCTTGGAAATCACAAACTAAAGACTTTTTTTCTCCACTTTGAATTAAAACCCCAAGTGATCCTGATAGGAAAAGCTGTCAAGACTCTTAGGACAAAATCCATTTTCTAGAAGAGATTTTTAAGAGGAGAGAATCAGGGAGGACATGGGACCATCTCCTGCTCAGTGTAGCTTTTAACAGAGTCGCCTGGCTGCTGACACGGAGCCTTTCATGTCAAACAATTTTATTTCTGAGCTTTTCACAGTGTGTTCTAAGTAGCTTCTATTAGTATTGTCCTGTCCGTTGCCTTGGCAACAGAACTGGTCAATTTAGACACCATTTAAGAGCAGTGGAAAAAGCAACAACCCGCAGCATGATGGGTGAAATTACAGAGAAGAAGCCCCATACGATCCTTGCTGGATGAGATGTGTTGTCTTCCAGGGCCCATTTTATTTTAATTAAAATTGAAAGGCTCCTCTAAACAAGGCCCTAGATTAAGCAGAGGCCAGAGCAAGCTGCTGTAAAGCCATCACAGCTGCATTCCTTAATGTTGCCTTTTTAACCTGAATGGATTATTTGTGTTTTTCCCCCCAAATAAACAAGGCAGCATGGGATCCTGGTATCCATCCATAAACACTAGTTGAAGAGACACAAGTTTCTTCACATAAGAATCTTTGTTTAAGGAGCTTGGGGAAGAATTTCCCACAGTTTTTGACATGAGATTTAACTCTCTACCCTAGCCTGGGATTGAACTCACCATATGTAGCATAGGCTGATGTTGAATTCACAGCCATTCTCCAGCCTCAGATTCCCAAAGGCTGGGTTCACAGGTAAGCACTGCTATGTTCAACTGAAGAATTCAGATGCCATTGGGGATTTCATTTGCCATTCACCTCATTTAATTTATGTAGTTAACAGTCATTGCCATTACCAGTAACATTACATGGATAATTTTGAACGTTGAACCAACTAGAAGTATAAGATTTTTTTTAAACCAGGAGTGGTGGTACATACTTGTCACCCCTGTGCTCAGGAGGGCAGTTGAGGCAGAGCCAAGAGTTTGAAACCAGCATTGGCCACATAGCAAGATTTTGCATTAAAAACAAAAACACTTAAGAAAGTGCTCAACATCCTTAGCCATCAGGGAAATGCAAATCAAAACAACCTTGAGATATCAACTTACTCCTATCAGAATGGCTAAAATTAAAAACACCGAAGACAATTTATGCTGGAGAGGATGTGGAGAGAGGGGAACACTCCTCCACTGCTGGTGGGAGTGCCAACTCGTGCAGCCACTTTGGAAATCAGTATGGAGATTCCTCAGGAAAATGGGAATCAATCTACCACAAGACCCAGCAATTCCACTCTTAGGCATATATCCAAAAGAGGCAAATTCATACAACAAGGATATCTGCTCCACTATGTTCATAGCAGCATTATTTGTAATAGCCAGAACCTGGAAGCAACCTAGATGCCCCCCCCCCAACTGAAGAGTGGATAGAGAAAATGTGGTACATTTACACAATTGAGTATTACTCAGCAGAAAGAAACAATGGAATCTTGAAATTCGCAGGTAAATGGATAGCACTGGAAGAAACCATCCTGAGTGAGGTAACCCAGCCACAAAAAGACAAACATGGTATGTACTCACTCATATATGGATTTTAGACATGGATCAGGATAGTGCCAGTCTGCACTTCCACTGACAGAGATTCTGGGAAACAGGAAAGAACCTAAAAGATATGCATGGTACCCAAGAGAAGAGGAATGAGGCAAGATCTTCTGAACAGATGGGGAACATGGCAAGGGGTGGGGGGAGTGGGAGTTGTGAAGAAGAGAGGGGGAGAAGAGGAAGAGAGAGTAGGTCATGGGGGATCAGGAAGGTTGAGTGGGGGGAGAGTAGAATAGGGGGAAGAGGGAATCACAGGTTAGAAGACAGATCAGGCACCAATGTGACCTCTAGTGATCTAAAGGGATGACACCAACTGGCAAGCTAAGCAATAGTGGAGAGACCACCTCCAAAGTCCATTCCTGATAATGAACTTGATGTCTATAACCATCCTGGAGCCTTCATCCAGTGACTGATGGAAGCAGAGGCAAACACCCACAGTTAAACACTGAACTGAACCCAAGGAACCCAGTGACAGAGAGAGAGGAACGATGAGCAAATTGGCAAAGAATGGGCTGGCAAAACCAACAGAGACTGCTGATCTGAACAGGGGAAAGCTCTTGGACCCCAGACTGACAGCTGGGAGGCCAGCATGGGACTGATTCAGAACCCCCCTGAGTGTGAGAGTCAGTGAGGAGGCCTGGGCAACCTATGGGGCCCTGAGCAGTGGACCAGTGTTTATCCCTGGAATACAAACAGACCTTGTGTGTCCATAACACAGAGGGATGCTCTCTTAGCCTGGACTCTTAGGGGAGTGCCTGGACCCTACTCTGAGTGAAATGACAGACTCTAGATATCCCCTATGTGGAAGCAATTGGCAATAGGGTGGGAGGCTGGGGGGAGGATGGTGGTGTGGTGTGGGAGGAGGGGAGGGAGAGGGAACTTGGATTGACATGTAAAACAAGCTACTTAAAATTAAAATAATAAAAAATATATATTAAAAAAACAAAAACAAATGCCATACAAACTAAAGAAAAAGAAAACACAAAACAGACAGAAAAATTGAATTTTCTCACTTGAACTTCATATCAGCAGTTGGCTTTACACTTGGAATTACATTCATAGCTCTGACAATATTTGTTTACATTATGTGTATGTGTGTATGCCTGTGGAGTCCAGAAGAGACTGTAGACTCCCTGTAACCTGAGTTACAGAAGGGTGTTAGCTACAATGAGGGTGCTGGGAACTGAGTCTGGACACTTTGCAAGTGCTCCTGTCCTCTACACTCAGCTTAAAAAATCGGTTTAACTTTGATTATGTGTGTGCGACTGTGTGTGGTAGGTTCCTGAGGAGACCAAAGGCATGAGATTCTCTGGAGTTGAAGCTACAGCCTGTGGTGATGGAGGTGCTGGTGACCTAACTCAGGAACTCTTCAAGAGAAATCCATGGAACTCATTCCCAGACCCTCATAGCTTTCCTGTGTGTGCAGAACAGGACAGAACATAACTTGTGAGTACAGACATTCTTTTCTCCTTGTACTAGACAATTAAAAAAATCCTTGTCTTCCAAGAAAAAAGCAAGAAGACTGATTACTTCTGTAGGGACTCGAGGGCAGCTTCAATTGTGATTTTTCCATGTAACAAATATAGACAGAATCTCTTTAAGAAATGTAGAGAATTCTTGGTAACACTGCCATGGTGAACTGGGGTATCTCAGGGACTGCAGAGCAGTCCTGGCTCATAACTGAAACGTTTCACAGAAATGGATATTTGCTATGGGATATATTTTAGGGGACTTCGTAGCCCAATAGGTTGCTAAATTCAATGTCAAAGTCTGTTATTACACTAGCATTCCATCATTGTATCCCTGAAGATGGACAATTGCATGTTCCCAAAGTAGTTCAGGAGTTGCCTGGAGAAAGCAATACCTTCACTTTATTTGACATTTACTAAGGACTCTTTCATCTTTTGACTGGGCTTCTCTTTTTGATTTTCTGGCATCAAAGCACAGAAATGTACATCTTCATGTTCTTTAGAGAGTTTTCTCACCTTGTGTGTAATTACAAGTGGTGGGGAGTCCACAAAAATCCCTGGTTATATATTCTCAAGTCCAGAGCGTCACTATGGATCCTGTGTGATCTATGAGGGGCCAGCCATAGTCATACTTCCTTTGAGAGTGTCACTGGATCATCAAAAGCATCTCCATTGTGATTTCTATGGTGAAATGACAAGACTACCAATTAATGCTTGTTGTAGGGGGAACCAGAAGGGCCCACTACCTGTTTTACCATAAGGTGCATGAAAAATATTAGATGCATAAGTGGCATTTCATTTCTGGATTTTACATAATACATACTGAGGTGATTGACTGGATGGAGCTCCATACAGATGACAAACTGATAGCAGATCAAGACAGATTCTAACCTTTCTTACTGTGGTGATTATGTCAGAGAGCATACTAGCTCATGTCTGCAGTCCATTAAGTCCTCTAACATGCCAACATCCTGCAGAATTGTTCTAGGACATGGGTTTATTGGGTGAGGGCTCTTTGGCTTGGAGCAGGGAGGTCTAGGGAATCTTGGGGACTCTGTACAGTGTAGAAGATCCATTTTTCATTGATAACAGGAACTCAGATAATGGAAAAATTCTTTCAAATGGCACACAGCCAGAAGCCTTCCTCATGATTATGAGTTCTTCTACAATCTTCCCCAATGTCTTGCCTCTTAGTTTCTTGAACTCTGGATTTGATTCACAGAATAACCTTTAGGAAATGATGCTTTTCCTGCTCCTGTCTTCTTACCTGGGGTACAGAAGTCCCTCTATCTCCAAGCACCTTCTCCCCTGGGAATCACACTTTTGAAAATCATTTTGATTCTCATTGGGAGAGAGAATCTATATAGCAGCATAGAATTATCTCACATTCTGCATCACCTCTAAATTGGATTTTTGTGCTCTACCTTAGTTCACACACCGTTTAAATATTTCTCTGGGCATTGTAGGTAGCAACATCCAGCAGGGGGGAATTGTTTAACTTTCTATGTTACCAATATTTAGTGGTGTTTCTGTAAATATTTTCGTTCCATTAAAATAAGGCTTCTCAACCTTGGCTGATGTGGATACACAGGGGTTGCCTGAGACAATGCAGTATATTTACTAGCACTGTTCCCCCCACCTTGCCAAAATTTTGAAAAGCGAAAATGTCATAGATATTGCCAGATCACTTCTAGGTGGGTGGTTGGTCACTTGTGTTCTTATCCTCTCCCATCTCTTCAAAATAAGGGCCTTGCTCGAGACTGGGACGAGGCTCGTCTACTTGAGGTCTTTGTGATGGTTGGTCTTTAATTGTCAACTTCATTGGGTTTAGATACACCTGTAGGTGTGTCTCTGAGAGGTTTTCTAGATTGGATTAACTGAGGCAGAAGATCAGCTCTTCATATGGCTACAGATGAAGGCTATACAGATATAAATAGGTGCTAGGAAAAACAATACAAGTGCTTTTCTTTGCTGGTGTTTTTGAGTGTATCTGTTGGTATCAATATCAGACTCCAGCTCATTTATCTTCCAATGCAGATCAAATGCCAATACGTTCCTGGGATCAACCAAGCTTTTAGCACCAGGGTGACACTACTAGTGTCCAGCTTCCTGGGCTGAGCGTCTGCCAGATTTTCTTCTCCAACATGCAGATAGACATTGTTGGACTATCCATTCCCTATCACATAGGCTGGTCCAATGAATCCTCATTGGTTGTGTGAAACGTGTTATCTTCCTGCCAGCCACTTGGGTCCCACAGTTTTCTCAGCCCTCAAATAACACACAGGATGCTATATTAATTATAAGCTATTGGCCATTTGCTTGATTTCTTATTGGCTAGCTCTGACTTAAATATTAACCCATAATTGCTAATCTAAGTATTTCCATGTGGTCTTCTCTTACTGGAAGAAGGGTCCACGTGTTGCTTCTCCTGCGTCCTACATCGTGACTGACTGTGCCTCTCTTTCCCAGAATCCTCCTCAACTCCTAGTCCTACCTATCTTGCTTCCCTATTGGCCAAAACTGCTTTATTCAACAACCAATAAGATAAGCACATACACAGAAGGACTTTCTCCATCAGTTGTGGTTCTTTAGAGAATTCTGTGTAACACAGCTTCCAAAAAACGAAACAATGACATTTTCATATTCAAGTAAAAGGAATGATGGATGACTTCATACTCCCCAGAACTCCAGTGCTGCTGCCTTTCATAGAAAGTAAATAGTAATTCTGTCTCTTGTGTCTTGAGCATATCTTAAACGATGATTAAGACAACTATTAGGTTTACTTAAAGTCTCTGCATTGACAAGTAACCACCAGTCTCACTATACGGCACACAGCCTCCTCCACTAACCAATGTTACATATCTGCATAGAAAAGCTTCTGCTCACAACTGCTGCTCAGTAGCTGTATCTGTATACACCAAGTAAGTTCTTCTCATGCTCTGAGTGTGGTGTGAAGTCGGTTCTGTGTTGGGCAGGTATAGTCTGTGAACATGATGACACCATTGTAATTAAATAATTAAAAACAACCTGGAGGACCATGGCTTAAACAAATGGAGATGAAGAACTGTGTCTATCACAGGAGGCCAATAGACACAAGTCTATTCAAGCATTGGTTAAGCCTTCTGCTTGCCCACTAAAATGCTGGTCATGTTTACTTTTTAAAGATTTCTTTTTATTTATGCATATGCATGCACATGTTTTTCTGTTTGTGTGTATGTGCATGTGTGTGTGGATGCCCCCAGAGGCCAGTGGATGTCCTGAAGCTTGAGTTACAGTTAATTGTGAACTTCTGGACATGGTTTCTTGTTGCGGGATTCCTGCCTGGGTTCCATTCCCACTTCAGAGCCCCCAAATAACACACAGAGACTCTATTAGTTACAATGCTGTCAGCCAATATCCAGGGATTCTCTTTGGCTAGCTCTGGCTTAAGTATTAACCCATACTACTAATATATAGTTCTATAAGGTCTAATCTTACTGAGAAGGCCAGATTCATGCATCCCCTCCTCTGGGAATCACATGGCAACTTTACTACATTTCCCAGAATCCTCCTTATCTCCTAGTCCCACCTATCTTACTTCCCTATTGTCCAACAGTGTTTTATTCATCAACCAATAAGAGACATATTTACAGAATGACATCTCCCATAAGTTGTTGGGACCTGAACTCCAGTTCTCTGAAAGAGCTCTTTAGTGATGATTGATTTCTCTAGCCCCCATAGTTCTTGAAAAACATTGTATAATGCTATTGAAAGAACCACACAATGCTATTGGAAGAAACTCCTTAAAGTATTTAGGAATCAAAGGATCAATGTGCTTAAGAATTAAAAACAGCAAACAAAATGCTACTATTACAAACCTATCTACAGGACACCATTTTTTGTAGTGTGTTTTATTTGCTGCTTTATGTCACTATAATTTAACTGACAGCTTCACTCTTCTAAAAACTAGCATGAAATTAACCACTCCAAAACACTAAATAGCCCTTAACAGCCAGCAAAGGATCCAGAAATTCATGTACTTAGATTTGTAATGATGGATCAATGAGATAATTAGTTCACTTACATCCATTTTAGTATATTCATTCAATGATTATTCCCTGCCTGAGAATAGGCCTGCTTGGATAAGGAAGCAGGCTCCATGATGGGGAGGCAGAGCCTAGGGTCTCAGTTACTAGGGGTACCTCTATAAAGGGGAGTAAGCTTCAAATGGGCACATTCTCCTCATCTTTCAGATGCTGCAAGGAAGGTAGGGACCATGACTAGAGAAGAGTTAGACTGAGGCCTTGGCCCTTTACTCCATTGAAAGACAGAACTCTTGGCCTTTAACCAGCACCAGAATCCGGTTGAAGTAAGACTGAGCTGGTTTAAGTTACATGACCTAATAAATGCACACCACAGTATTTTTTATTCACTACTAGCATTTTAAAAACAATCTAGATGTTAGCTATACCCTTGTGTTGACAAATATAGGAGAAAGTACAGCCAGCCTACTCAAGTCACAGTCGCCCTGCCCAGGAGCTCAGGCCAGCCCACATGAGCATGCATGACAGGCACTTCTTCCCTGAGTCAAGCCTGTCTCTATGCCCAGGGACTGCTGATGAACAGACATCTGAACAAGTGACACTAATGAAGAAAGGACAATGCAGCAGAGTCAGCCTCCTGAGCCAATAGGACCTTGGGAGGGGTTACAAAGGCAGGTCTGGCTTCCTTAATAATGGAGTCTGCAGTATACTCTGCTACTCACTGACTCCCAGTGTCTGAGTCATTGGAGCTGTGTATTCTCACCCCCTCCCCCAAGGGGTGTCCTAGCAGGGTCACCTGCAACAGACAATGTCAGCTCATACTCTGGCTCCTGATATAATGGGTATTCTTCACAAACACACAAAAAAAATGGTTTTGATTTCCCAGCATTGTTATCTTCAAACAATTGTTCTATCTCTGTATCATGTCATTTAAATCATTATTTTTAAATCATGCTGTATAATTTGAGTCTTGGTGACTTACAGTCACACTTGTGGTCAAACATGCATACACCCATTCATATAGCATTCATTTGTCAGGGCTCATGCTGGTCATTTCTCAGTGGCCAATATCTTATTCTAGTCTTTTTAAACCATCTTATAGCCTTGGCCAGGTGATGATACTGCTGCTAAAATGGATAAAATAGTTAAATTTCGTCAAAACTGTTAGGGGACTTAAGGCTCAACCTCCAAGCCAGTGGCCAGATGTTTGCTTTTCATTGGTCATGACATTGACCTTATAACTCAGCTTGTATGGTGAGGAATCCCTTGATAAATTACTTAGACTTAAATTCCCAAGAAATGAGTGGCTTTATCTATACTTATTTTCCTAAAGTTTATCCCAGGTACAATGAGTTACTGATTCTATTATTCTCAGCAATCTGCTTTGGGAGTTCTCTAGGTATGCTGTCCCACTAGTTATCTGAAACCCACCACCACAACAAAGGAGGAACTGATGAATAGAACTTTCATGGTGATGTGGTAGCATTCCCCCTCCTTATCACCTTTGCATCATTAAGTCTTACATGAATCTAGCATGGGGCTGATTGGATCTCTCTGAGCTCACAAATCAAGAAGTCATGTCAGAGTCATTTATTGCTCTGGAGTGCTGGGAAGCCTGTCCAAGAGGCCTGAAATAGCAAGGGGCTCTGGAATGAATCATCTCAATTTATTTTAGGCTTTCTGTTTTTCACTGAGTGATTTTTACAATTCAGCTCATCTAGCTTGGGAGAATTCTTGCCTGTGGGGCAATGATGAATCAGGGAAGGAATCTGGTGAAAGCAAACTTTTAATTTAGGAACACTGTCAGTTTCATGGCGAAATCACACTTGTTGCTACTGAAAGCTGTCCAAAGCTAAACGAGGTAGTGGGCCCCTCTTAAAGACTACGGTATTAATTTCTTCTATATTGATCCATTGAATATTAATTAATTCATAGACATAGAAAGGTAGTTGTGCAGAAGTATAGGAGACTCATTTGAATTATAGGAGTACCTTTCTCCCCAAATAATAATTGTTGAGCAGAGAAACACTTATTTCTTTTTGAACTAATTTTACTTTTCTTTTTTCCTTCTAGAGATGTGTCCTATGGAGAAGAGAAAAAACATCTGCATTTGTTGTAACAGGAAGCCTGCCATTTAAGTGTATTTTCTCTACTCCTTCTCATTTTGTGTTGCTTTAATGATTAGGAAGAACCCCACCTTACCTTACTGTGTGTTCATGAGGCATGGAAGAAGGACCACATAGCCCCATTTTCTAAAAATATTGCTGAGGTTATGATTCTCAGCAATTCTAGAAAACGAATCAACATTTCTTTTGTTGACACAAGAAAGAAGGAGTTTTGAGAGGGAATTAAGATCGACTTAGGAACATAGTGCAACGCATGACACGTTTCTTTGGGACGAGATCTTAGAGGTGGAGGAGCCCTAGAGCTGGTCAACCTACTCAGGATGTTTCAGCTGCCTGGGTTTTTCTTCGTGCCCCAACCCCCAACACTCTCTCACTTTCATGTCTGCTTCAGCAGCACTGCTTTTGGTTTTTGGGGTGCAGCTACTTAAATTAGGACTTTTGCTAACAGAATTTATATAAAAATCACCTCTTTTATTGCACAGAAGAGGGAATGATTCTTCTAGGAGTTAAAGGCTCCTGTTGCTGTGCCTTCCCCACTCTGATGGCCTGGATTTTACTATTGCTTTGAGTGAACACTTGAATGGAGCTTGGTCAAGATCAACCCAGGCTCTTTCAAGGATACCATCACCCTTCTGATTTGCCAGTGGTTGCTAGTCCCCTGCACAAAGACAGCCTGATAGTTATTCTTCATTATCAACTCAGGTACATTTAGAGTCAGTCCGCAGTCCCCCAGGAGACATACTTATGGGTATGTTTATGCAAGTGTTACCAGAGAGGTGTAACTGAAGAGGGTGAGTCCCATCTGAAGTGAGTGGGACTGCATAGACTGAAGGCCCAGACTGAAGGAAATAGGTCATAAGAGATAGCCAACTGAACTCCAGAATGCATTTTCCTTTGCCTTCTTAATCTGATTATCCGTGAGCACCCAGCCTCATGTCCCTATTGCTGTGCGTTCTCCACCCTGATGGATTGTACTCTCTCACTTCCTTAATTTTCTAAGTTGTTTTCTGTCAGGCATATTGTCAAAGCAGTGGGAAAAGTTGCTAATATAGACAGTTACATTTTACAAGGGTAAATTTCAGGGACTATATTCTTGGGAGTTGGAGAGATGGTTCTGGTAGCAAGAACATTAGAGTTGGGGATGTAGTGACTGTCCTTTTAAGAAAGAATGATACTTTGAAGGACAGGCTATTTGATAGCTTCTAAATCCATGAGACAGTCACTTAGTACCCATCATTTGGCCACTTTTTAGGTTCTGACCTGTGGATACTGACCTGAACAGCCTTCTTCCAGTTAGCCAATTATAGTAATTTATATTCCAAGTGTTAGAGAAGTGTGGTATTTGTCTTTCTGAGTCAAGATAATTTTATTAACCCCATAATCTTCAGTTCCATTTTCCTACAGATGACATGATTTCATTCTTATTTAGAGCTGAATTAAACTCTACTGTGTACATATGCTATATTCTTTTATCTATTCTTCTGTTGATAAACATTGGTTTGGTTCCATCTTAACTATTGTGAGTTGTACTATAATCAACCTGGATGTTCAGGTGTTAGTGGTATAGCCATCATTTTTGTAGGATAACCCTAACATGTCCTGGAAACAACTGTAGATTCTCCTTACCACATCACAGGATAACTCTAACATCATACATGTCCAGGAGACACACAAAGCATTTTTAAAAGGACAAATAAAACTTGGGATGGAAGATGCTACTGTTAATCTTCATATTTTAGAAGGCATCCCTTCAGTGTTCAGAATGTTCCAGTACAGGCTTTAAAGTGTGCCCTATCACAGAGGAGAGTCTGAACTGAAATCTTGAGAGTCCACATATACCCGGTTCTGCCTCAGACTGATGCAGATTTTAGTAACTGATTGAAAGGTTTTCAGCTCTTCCAAGTAACTAGTTTCATTTTTACAGCGATTGTCTTATGATTAAGAAGGTACACAGAGAATTGCAGTGTTTGCTGTGAGGCAGGAAAAAAATCAGCTTATTCAGGCTAACTCTAAGTACAAGCATATTGAAGACATTTCTCTTCCTTATATGTATTTGCTTTTGTCAATTTTGCTTCAAAGATATACAGCTTTTATATTCAAGAAATGTCAAAAACAAAAATAAAAATACAGTGCTATCAATGTTGTGATTTGAATGAGAAATGTCCCCCATTCACTCATGTCTTTGAACACTTGGTGCCCAGTAGTGGTGCTGATTGGTGAAGCTTGTTGGAGGAAGTATGTCTGTGGGGGTGGGCAATAAGGTTTTATAGCCGGGGTCCACTTCCTGTCCTCTCTCTCTTTCTGTTTCTTGGGTGTGGATGAAATGCTGTTATTCTGCTTCCTGTCTATTAGGCTGGCCCTTAGACTCCTGCTTCCGTGCCTTCCCTCCCACGATGGATTGTATTCCCTTTGAAACTATAAGCCAAATAAATCCTTTTCTCCTCTAAATTGCTTTTTGTTGGGGTAGTCTATCACAACAACAGAAAAATAAACGAATGCAATCAGTTTTTAACTTGGGAAAATAATGGCAGTCAAACTGAAATATCCATGTGTTTATAGTACTTAGCCTGGAATGTGGAGTATTATGTTTCTTTATTCCCCCAATTTTCAACAATTAATGTGTACATTTAGTTAACAAACTTTGAGGGACAATAGAAATTTAGAAATAAAATGCTGCCTTATTTATAATGCAATAGTGTGTGTGTGTGTGTGTGAGAGAGAGAGAGAGAGAGAGAGAGAGAGGAGATAGAGGGAATCATCTAGTCTGTTTTCTAATGGGAAAGGGCAACAAGTTGAGTATGATCAAAATAATTGAATGAAAATGCCGTTGGATCAGATACATGAAAAAAGGAAGAAGGGTTTATTTGGGTTCACAGTTCAAAGGCATATACTGCATCATGGTGGGAAATCAATGTGACTTCAGTGTGATGCTGGCCACAGCATCCAATCAGGCAGAGAAGAGGTATGAATGTTGGTGCTCAGCTTGCTTTCTTGTCTTCTTTCAGTCTGGGATCCCAGCCCATGGGAGGATACCATGACACTTAGAGTGCATTTTTCCTCTTCACCTAAAACATCCCCATAGATATAAGCCCTTTGCAATTTTAAGCTATCAAAAATAAATATGTATTGACTGCCCTTAACATGCTTAGCATCCTTGTTTAGTGATGCCTGTCACAGTAGGGTCTTGTTTTCCCCTTTGAGTGTGTGGCCACCTGGGGCCTGAGGCTCTCTGTTGCTGCACAGAATGACCAGAGAAAATCATAGTGTATAGCCTGCCATGAGAAAATTTTAAGAATGATTTCTCCCAAGTGCATGTTGCTTTTGCTCCTTTATGAAGTCAAATCTTTAAGTGGGGGACTGTTTTCATTTCATCTACCTTCTTATATTTGTCAATACTGTACTGCACAGGGGAGAAATCACAGTTTTCCACTCCACTCAATACCATAGAGTATGCTACAAAATTTAGCTCAACATAATGAAAATCAAAACTTCCATTCCTTTTCTATCTATAACATTCTTATCCACAGCTTTCAGTGTGGTGATGAAGAGTTGTTCTACTCAGCCGCACAGCTGTCTGTGGACACTGCCAGGTCTGTCTCCACTGGATGGGCTGTCACAGACTTCTGTTCTGTTTCCATGTTAATGGCCAGACTAAGCCCACTCCAAATCATATATGGATGATAAGATCTCATCTCCAAAGCTCTGAATAGAGTTTCGAGATTCAATGGGAGCAATCTATCATTGTCAAAATGTATATGTTTTCCCTGTTATTCCTCTGACAGTCCTACCTCTTGACTAAGCCGACTTTCTCTTCCTCTCGTGAAGAAAGAAAAACACTGGGGTCCAGTGTCAGTGACAGATAAGTGAGGGTCACTGTTTCCTGACATTTGCTGCCAACATCACCTAACAAGTGACTTCATCTAGTATCATGGTGGGTATCTATCTTGCTAAGTAAGAAAAGATGGATGAAACCAATCCACTTGACATATACTGTTAACACATACTTCTCTTCTCTCTGAGAGTCTGTGGTGTTCTCAGCCCTAATTTTAGATGTAGACCTTTCAATGAATCTTATTTTATCTGTGAAGTCATTTCCTTAGGATTGTCTTCATTTGTTTATTTTCACTCTAAATACTCAATTATTTTCAAATCTACTGTTGGAGTTTGCTCATCCAATGAATTTATATATGAATAGAGGTGAGTCCATTGTAAGTAGCATTGAAGCAAAGGTCTTCGTTTTTAGTTTTACAGAACTATAAATTCATTGTAGTGGTCTGGCTTCCTGAGCTCATGAATGAACATGATAAAGTCTGTAGAATTTATCAAGGCAGAAGAATCTTCAACTTAGGTAGAATTGTAGACAGGGAAAATGAACACATCTCCCTACTCCCCTACTCTCAGGTACTTTCTTTGTGTTTAGTTGTGTGTGTGTGTGTGTGTGTGTGTGTGTGTGTGTGTGTGTGGTCAAATGGCAGGAGGTGCATATACATCTGTGAGTATTGAGGCTGAGAACCACCTCAAATGTTTTTATTCAGGTGATATTCACTATTCACCTCAGGTTTTTTGGAGACAAGTTCTCTCACTGGCTTGGAGCTTACCAAGCAGTCTACTCTGGCTGATCAGTGAGCCGCAGGGATGTGTTTGTTTCCACCTCCCCAGCACTGGCATCACAGATGTGCATTGTTTAGCCTGACTTTATTTATGACATGGGTGATAGGGTCTGAACTCAGGTTTTCATGCTTGCAAGACTAACACTTTGCTAGATAAGCTGTCTCTTAAGGCCTGTGCTTAGTATTTTCTGGACATTAGTGTCTTCCAAAAGTAAAACATCAGCACTGGAAGTGCTTTATGTGTATTTTAGCTGTGTGTTGAGTTGCAAACTCTTTTCATAAATATAGGCAGGCGAGTCCGCAAAGCACATAAAATGTTGTGTTGTCTCTACATTACCCTTAGCCTGAGGTCCTAGACACAAACGAATATTTAAGAGCCTATGGAAGCATCCAGAGAGGTGAGTGGTCCTTTGTTATTTTCCTTAATCCAAACTGGATAATTTGCCCAGAGGACTTTAGTTTAAAGAAGATGCTGGGGAAGTCTATCATTTTTATCAGATCCAAGG